TCCTCGCAATACAACAGATTTACAAGCACAACGCACAAGTTTGCGAGGCTTAAGTTTAAATAATCACCGTCTTACCAAAGTTATGACTGATGAGAAGTGCGTGCTGCGCCTTTACTGGGACGCTGACGTCATACTTCACACAAGTGTAGCAAGAATTCGAACTCAAGACAGCAGAAACAAAGTGAAGTTTCTGCTTGTGAACAAAATCGCCTGACAAAATTAGCGTCAAACTCCGGCCACTTCAGTGCAAGGGTACGAGACTTGAAGTCCTTTGCATCTGGTTTTAAACATCTGCAGAACGTACGTTCCAGTTCAGATAAACAGATAAACTCATCTTTTAAAGAAGGCGTTCCAGCCTCTGATTTAGACGGAGATCAGAAAGCAAATGTCAGTGAAGTGCTGTTTAAAAAGAATTAGCAGGCTCTTTGTGGAAACAAAAGAGCGTCCGGTTTACGCGTTCTGGAATACTTTTACCAAATTCCATTAACCACCTGAAGTCCACTGGTAACCACGCGTACCACCTGCTTTAATAATCAGTACATGTGATTTTCCCGCCACAAACTCTATGTACGATTCTTAATGCAAACAGCGATTATTTCCGTAAACAGTGTTAACTGGCTGATCTTTCTAAAGGTGAAGTGTTGTGTTTTCTTCGCGGTACGGACTGGATTCTTAAATATCTGTCCCCTTCCACTGACACAAGGTTCGAACACAAAGAATTGTATTAAGCGAGGTCCTTATTCTGTCAGCAGATCAACGATGATTTGATGCTATCCAATATGAGAATGGCGCTGATTCATCCGATTTGATGCTATCCAATATGAGAATGGGCTCGAATTAATCAGACTCCGTTCACAAACGACATCCCCAGTAAGAACGCCCGAAGACCTACCTCGTGACCCTGTATCACTTCGTCCCCGAAAATGTTCGCAGTTCAACCAAACGCAAGCAGACCCCGGATTCCAACCCGCTCCAAGCGACCACTTATCCGTTCCCCTTCAAGGCAAAGTTTGCCTTGCTACTTCAAAGCTAGCCAGGCTTCTTTGCCAATTCACAAGCCACTACCATCACAAGGATCTCAGAACCAGTCGCCATAAAACGTCAGCGAGTAGAGGAGCAGACATGAGTTCATATCGAGTGCAGGTTTCGACGCCGTCCTTCGAACAATCGCTGACGGTTCAAACAAACGAGAAGCGACGACGTAGCACAATGTTTGTGTCGTGTAGTTGTACATTTTATATTTTTATAGTTCACTTAACGGCGCATTATACAGCACGGAATACAGAAAGTCGAGAGGAAGGACGATTAGTGAAAACGGAATTGGAAAATAATTTCGAAGAAACATTCGTGGCTATCCCAGAATTACTACGAACGGACTGAGGAAAACCATAAGAAATCTAAGCTACGTTATTCTGTCCCCAGCCGAGAATTTAGCGACGCCTGAAGATACAACTTTGGGCTTAGGCTGTATTACGATATAAAAATATAAACGAAATTGGATTCATTCACCGACGCACGGCGCACTGTGACACGTCGAAATTTCTGTCTGGAATCAACGGAAAGCAAAACTGAAAACACGGTCAGCAATCCGCTGCCACGCCGCGCAGTTCAAAGCTTTCCGCGTTACCATGTCAGACGACACTCCTTATTGGAATCTCTTCAACTGAACCACCCCCTGCCAAAGATCGACAAGAAACAGGGCTTTAAGCGGCGGTGGGGAGGATATTGTGGGCTGTCAGGATTTCCTTGCGCGTACAACGCGGTGGCTGACGGCAGACACCAAACATCGAAAACTTTTTAAAGCTGGTTTTTGCTGACTGCGTTCGTAACGCGTCTCAGGTCGCACGCACGTAATCATTCTATCATTCGAACACGTACAGCCCCGGCTAGAGACAGCGTCGTTAAATAAGACGAATGACGCGTCGTGAAAAACCTGAGTTAAAATTTGTAAACCCAACCGGAACTCATACTTTGTGAATCCTCAGGACTGAAGATGGAGACGGGAAGTTGCTCCGAAACGCTGGCACCACCTCCGAGTGAATACGGCGTCAAAACCCATACCATGATCCCCACCGCCGTGACATCCTCAAACCTCGCTCTTAATCTGTGGCACAGAATCTGCCGGCCGGCAGGTGAAGCTACTCGAAATTCTGCAGCGAATGCGCGAGACAGAGGCTTCGTTACGACCTGACGACGAGCGAGCGTGGATTTGCCTCACAGGAATTTCAATCAATTCTTACTCAAACGGTTCCGCACGCCCGTACGTGTCTCTTTGCGGTCCGTACTTCCTTCCTTCCTTCCTTCCATCTCTTCAATGCAGTCGGTCTGTCTGTCTCCGTCTCTCTCCTTCTGTTCCCCTGCAGCGGCAAGTTTTCCGGGCGCAGGAAAGGACCGACGTTTCTTCCCCTCCTCATCCGCACCCCTTCTCGAACACAACTCGGAGCAAAAGGGGTTTTCGCTGTGCGGTTAACGTTTGGTGCACTCGGCAAGTGAGGTTCAATCCTGAGGGGCACCGCCCACCTGCGCAAATCTTACAACCCTTCATTATTAGTAAATACAGACGTTCCACCTCCCCTTGGTGAGACTGGTTACTTCTGCAGGTTGTGCGCGCGAAGCAAAACTTCCTCCAGAAGCCTTCGGTTTATTAAATACGCAGACGGAATCTGCAGCCAGGAACACTTGCACGGCGCCTGAAGGTGGCCCCAGGTCAGTCGATGCCTAACTGCGAGGACGTCAGTACTTTCACTTACTCTGACGCCGGTACATGCGAACTGCGTTAATGAACTACGCGCGTGTAATCCAAAAGCGCGTCGCTTGTTCGTTCTGCAGTGCAAAAGTCATTACTCCACTGTCAGAATGCGGTGGTTGCCTAGCAACGCTGCAGCCCGATTAGGGGCTGGGGGGTTGACCGGTAGCCTCCCAGCCAGAGGACATTCGCCTGGACAGCCTATTGCAAAAAGCATTTTGTGACCAGCTCCACGGAACGGAATCGTCCTGGGAAGCTAGCAGTCGCTCAGCTAGCCACCTTCCACCGAATGCGAAGGTTCGTTACCGTGCTCACAAAAGCCCGCCTCTCGAACTTATCCTGAGCGAGATTAATCGAACACATTCACTCACAACGCAGATTCCGTGAGATCCGTCGGCCCAGCGGCGTCTGCTTTCCCGAAGCGACATCGGCGAACGAGTTTCTCATCTGCCCTCACGTGCTACATGCGCTGTTCACCTCATCCCAGCTGATTTCATCGCAGAAAATTTCTGGTGTTTCGCCTCGCTGGGTTGCCATCAGCTGACTGATCAATCACGCATGCGATTTGTGTTGCTTAATTACGCGTTAGAGACGATAATTTATCGCCAATCTACGGGGATTCAAAGGGTCATGAGGCGCGCAGCTAAAATGCAAGTACGTAAGTAGTCTGTTTGTGGGCCAAGGCGGAGACGGTCCCAGCCTGCAACTCCTTCTTCTTCTTAGCACTTAAGGGAAGTTGCACACAGGGGAGTCTCAAATTCTCCGCGAAGGCTCTTAAGAACTTTATAGCTGATACGGCGATAATTATCATCATTTCTTGGGCATAAAATTACTTTGCAAATGGCACAATGGCAAATAGAATTAATTACCCGCAATGCCTCAATTGGTGAGGCACTGCCATTAAACTGTTCTCGAATAAAAACAATGCCACAGACTGAGAATTGTCTAGACCGCAATCAAACCCGTGTTCCTCATTCTGAGATCACTTTGCATTCACAGAAGAGGCGGGCCCAGTGACTTACATCTGGACTCAGACAAAACGGACCTGCAGCTTTGAGCACGGCATGTAACACGCACGGGAAAGATCATTCGTACGCAAATTTGGCTGTAGCGATCACGTGGCATACCTAGGCGTAGATGGAAAGATAATATTAAAACGGGCCGTAGACGGAACGATGAGGACGAATACTGGATTCACATACAGAATTATTAAAACGGGCCGTAGACGGAACGATAAGGACGAACACTGGATTCACGTACAGAAAATTTTCCAGATAAAATGAGTAACCCTGTCCCATCAAGTGATTCAGCTGATTTTAATTTAATTCAGGTGTACTGTTACCGCTTTGAAAATCAGGATAACACAGCGACACCTCCAGCCCACAGACACGCTAACACTCGCAAATGATACGGGCGGCCTCCATGTACAGAGGATAGTACTTTACGTGCCCGGGGCGAGGCGCTGCCTCCGTTTCTGCAAACAAATTACGAATCACGAGCTTCTGTCCAGAGTATTGACACGGAAGTCTGCATTACGCACTCCATCAACGTTACAACGTGCGACTAAACCACCGTCAGTCAGCCAGTCACGAGCGGGCGATCAGCCCCTGGAGACAAGCCACTGCCATAGGGGGCGCACCGCGGAACACCCTGTTCCCGCGACGGTCACAGTTCAAATAAATACCTCGGGCCGCCGGACAGAATACGACACTTGGCTGAAAACTACTTTCTCGAGGCTGTACGCGTAATTCAAGCGCACAACCTGCAGACCGCCTGCATGATATCCGGCGTTTACAACGAAACTTGGAAACATCATGGTCCTGGAAATGAAAGAAGTGATTTGTCCCGGATCAATTCTGAGGGAGAGAAAGCGCGAGTCTCAACCCACCCAGAAGCAGCCAATCCCAAATACAAATCGGCCGCCTGCTGCTTACAGTGGCGCAGACGACTTACGGCTCACGGGGGCCACAAAAAAACTGAAAATGCGATGGACGACGCGGCATTTGTCCGAAAGGGAATTGTCTTATGAGCCAAGACTGCAAGAGGTCACTCAGGCAGGAGCTGTATCAAGCACAGACATTTAACTTGTCGTTTGTCGGGCAGGAAATTACGACGCCTGACGTCCGGCCGCTCATCCCTTTCCTTCCTCATAACAGCAGAAGGCCACCTGCCCAGAGAGGCACGTAGACCTAAACCAATTTACCGACGTTCTGGAACAGCGCAAGGCATGCTGGCGGCTGTCGCCTGTTCCTACCTTGGGTTTCCGCGAAGAGCCGCGTGGTGGAGGGCGTTGAAACCGTTGTTGTTGGTCAGCATGATGTCTGCGTTGTGCTCCAGAAGCAGCGTCAACATGTCGTCGCGCTTCTTCGATATGGCGTCGTGCAGTGGCGTGTCACCTTCGGAATCCTGAAACAACAACCCCAACTAACCTTCATGCCGAGGTTAAAGAGCTTCACTTGAAACAAGCCATTGACTCTGGCACTCCGACGACTGCAACTTCCTCCGACCAACGTTCTACTGTTTACCCAAGTGGAACGGCACGTGAGGCAAAGAAACTGCGGAGGACATAGACCACTTACGTACTACAAAATGTTATCGCGTTGTTTGCTCTGAGGTAGGAACTGAATTTCGAGATATTTTTAGACAGCCTTGGTGCTAAGAAAATTCGAAACGAGTGGTGCATATAGTAACTGCTGTCACTAACGGGGCACCCACCGCCTTTCCACGGTTCCCAAGTCAGTTCTGGAACGCAAAAGCAAATGTTGCTTGCGGGCACGTCAGGCGCTGATCGCAGTATTTGCCTGCTGAAAATCGTTGAGGCTGAGGGAACTACACCGTCCGCCATGGGATTCAATGCAATCCTTTCCCCGTTCTGGGACGTAGCAGTCAACCGGGTCTGCTAGAGAAACACGCAGGCCGCACGAAGGGCAAATAGACCTAAAGACAAAATAAATTGTCCTGAAAAGGAAAGCCATTGCAAGTCATCAAGGAGGAATTCCATTAATTGGCCTCACCGAAGCACCGCCACGGCAATCGATCGTCAAGATCAGAAGCCGTCTTCAGCAATTACGCAGGGGAATTTAAAAAATAATAATAATAATAATCCTTGAATGCTATAACATTGGGGTTCACGGCAGTTGAGGGGATTACAGTGTTCCGTGTGTGTGCTGAGAAGAAGATCATAGGAAACTAAAGTTATTTTGTCACGTCAGCCTTAAATAAGGAATTTCGCTTCAAATGTACATGGCGCAGAAACTGAATTAGTAAACGCGAGGAATGTTTCAAGTCCCGTACACTGAAGAGACTTCCTGATCACCCTGTAGCCAGCCTGTCGTTCCACTTAAATTGCCGGCCGACAGCCAAACGAGTCACGTGGAGTTACGACAGGATTTGGTCAACGTCTGCAGTTACAGGGACGAAGTAACAAACACTGTCGCAGCTCCTACACACCGGAAGGAAACTGGTAC